GCGACCGCCATAAAGCCTGTGATACATGCTGCGGTATACTCACTTGACTTCTTCCACTTGATCGTCTGCTGGTGGGCCTTAATCCTCCGGGAGTTGTCCTTCTGGAGCTTTTTGAGCTGGAGCAGGACGCGCTCGAACTGCTCGCTGCTCAGGCCGGACTTCTCCGCGTGGAAGGTCCTTACGTGCCTTACCAAGGCGCTCACGTTCAGCAGCATATTCTTGATGGAGGTGGAGGTGTAACCTTGCTGTAGGAGGACGGCGGGCCAGCTGTAAGAGAAGGGAAGCGGGCCTCGTGATCTTGGTGGTGCATGGCTTTAAACAAAAATCTGGGCAAAGTTGGAACTTACTCACGGATCTGTTGCAAGTCGTTCAGGCACTTCAGATTCGTGTAGCGGTCCGTCTTGCTGTGGTGGTGCATGTGAAGGATGAAGCGCGTGGCGTGGCTCTTGCGGAGATTGGAATTCTCCCGGTCCTTCCTGGTGGGCTGGGCCCCCAGATGAAACTCGCGGAAGTCCTCCAGGACTTTACCGACCACAGACATCGCGAATCGGTGGGGAACCTTGGGCGGCCTGCCCTTCGGTGAAGGCCTTCGTGCGGTGGATGTCGAGGTACCGGGGCGGGCCTCTGACTCACCCGGGTCGGGCGATGGGGGCGGCGGTGGTGGTCGCGGTGGGGGCGGCGGTGGTGGTCGCGGTGGCGATGGCGAACGGCTCGCTGTAGGAGGCTCGGTGGCGTCGGAGGTGGTGTCGGGGTCGGCGGCGCACGCTCTCACGGTCGTGCCCAGATCCAACTCGCTCACCAGGGCCGGTGTTGGTGCGCGGGACCTGAGCTCCCTAAGCCCCTGTATGATGCACTCGCGCTTGGCCTCGTTTAGCATCTGCTCCCGGTCCTTCCCCACAATCTTGTGGGTCTTGGACAGGTGCCGATCTAACCTGGCCAGCCGCGCTTTGTCACATACGGGGCAGCTCAAGCGTCCCTTGAACCTCCCGGTAGCGAGAGCAAGGAGGAGCGCCAGCTCTTCCTTGTTTTCCACCCGGTGCCGGCGAGTGAGGTGATGGGTCATGACCATGAACGTGTGTCCGCAGATCGGGCATTCCCTCTGCAAAAAGCAGGGCGTAAAAACCTCCACTTGGAGCACAGAAAAACCAACAGCAAAGAGAGAGACCACGCGGCGTGTGTCTGTGTGCTGCTTACCCACCATCTTGCCTGGAGGCCGGGCTAAGGGAGGTGCGCACGAAAAACCTCGCCTTAAGTGGAGGTGGCCTTGGGCCGAGGCGGAGCCACGGGCCAGATGTATGACAAGCTGCACCTGGCTCCTCCGCCCGTTACACCTCGCGCCGGCATTCCTAGTGCCGGTCCCTAACCTTAATCTCAACCCAAACTGTGGCTCTAATCCTAACCCAAACTTAATCTCAACCCAAAACCTAACCCAAGTCCTGTCACTAATCCTAACCCTAACCTTTACTTCACCTAAACCTAATCCTAACCCTCACCCTGGCCCTAACCTTGACCAAAACCTGATCCTGTTAAGCTCCAGTTACAGAATAGTTTCAGCAGCAGGTCTATAAGAGCTTGTTGGGGCTGTTGAGATGGTTTGTATGAGACCTGTTACATGTGATTTTCAGTGTTTTCTAATGTTAATATATCTACAGATATAAATTTGGACATTCCAAATAAAGTGAAAGACTGAATTCAGCAGATTATATACAAATTTTATACACCCAGTTAATTAAAAGTCTCTTGATAATCTACTGAATGTATTCACTGCTGCTACATCATTGCTATGTTGTTGATATGTTCCTGAGCATCTTTTCAAAGTTTACTTCATCTAAAAAGGACCACTCAAGATAAAATGTCACCCAATCATCAATCAGTGTCAGTCTCATTCTTTTAGTTCAGTGATCACAGAGCCAGAATGTTTTCTTAGTTTTCATAATAAAACAGTGAAATGAAAAAAGATCTCATACATAAATGAGGTAAGGCTTTGTCACATACATAATCATTCAGAAAAGCTATACTAATGAATGCTAATTGCTAATCATTTTGCAAACCCACGGAGGATGAACTTGGACATGAAAACTGCATTATTTAGAAAGAAAAAACAAAGAGATGTTAATTAAAATGATATGATGCGAACAAATGATAACCAATGATTGGTGCTGGATGCTGATAAGCGACTGAAAAGAAATGATTTCAATCTAAATGACCATAAATATAACCTGACTATTTACATGAGGCATTCAGAGACGAATACATTTCACACATTAGCATTAAACTGCTACTTAAGTATAAATGACACATTTAATGTGAGCAAATTATATAGTAAGTTACTACATTATCTTTCACTGTGGATATCAAAAAGAACAGGAGAGCTCTGTCATTATTTGGGTCATTCTACATAAATGTCCATTTTTGTGTCCCTAGCGTTTAGAGATATGTTACACTATATAAAACATATGAGGGTTACAATTTATTTATATTTTAAAATAAAGCAATACGTTATTATAACAATTACACCTTCTTCAGCCATGAATTTAGCAATATTGTTTTTTAAATCAATTATCTAGAATTCCAAGCACCACAGAAGAGCTCATCCTCACAGTCATGTGTAAAGGGTGAGGCTATATTTTGAAGAAAAATTATGCATTTTTCTGCAGTTTTAACTACAAAAATCTATACATGACTATGAAATATATAAATTAAATGACATAAAGAAAACAAATGCCAAATAAATATTCTAAAATATATAATGAAAGTTGTTGTCCCCAGGAGTCGTGTCACCGGTGTTAGCACGTAACAAAAAATCTCTTATATTGAAATAAAAATCACACTGATGACATCACTTGACTTCCTTTTACCTGTTTTCTGAGGATCTATGAAGAAAAGCACACAGTAAGTCCACTGTGTCTTTTCAGTTATCAGAGATTTTCTCATTCAGCTCATGATTTCATATGAAGCATTTAGTTGATGTCACTGGTATGACCTACTTTATTCTTGGGTGATTGTGAAAAAATAGAATACAAATGGATTAAATTACATATTTTAGTGGATATTCCATGACTGACATGTGGTTTGATGCTCTGTGGCAGCCATTTTGTAAAATGCATTTTTTATCAAAAATGTCTCTGGTGTTACCTTTTTTATGTGTAACACCAATGAGGACCAGTGACTCCTATGGATAGATAAAAAAGTGGACGTTCCTGTAGAATGACCCATTTGTGTCCCACATTCGTGCCAACTTTTGCTAATGTAGGAAAAGATAAAAATCCATTTTAAACATGCAGAAATGAATGGTGACCTTTTTTGGTTCTAGATGTCTGAATAAATGTATTGCTTGTCAGCAACAACATTAATATTTTATCATATTCAGCAATGCAGTAATGTCATTTGAACTTAGCCAAGTTCCAAATGCAGCCAAACTAATGTTCACTGTAGCTAGCTAATCAACATACGTCAATGCTTTGTGGATATAAACAAGTAGAATGGAATGAATTAGGTATAATGTAATACACTTGACGACAGGGAAAGTCAAAGAAATTGAAAAAAACAGAAGTTTCTGAAACCGGAGTTCAAAAATTGATTAAAAACTACAGAGAAAATAGAACTCCTAACAACCACTTGAAAGATCTGGTAGACCACCAAAACTCCCCATCAGATAAACAGCACTTAAAGCTTTAATCTTTGAGAGAGAGGAGGAAATCAAGCTCCTCTTTTGCTTCAGATCTGAAAAATCCACAGGTGTTTTTACTGTAAGAAGATAATTATGAATCTGAAAGGATGTCAAGAAGCCATTACTGAGTAAAGGAAATAGACCGAAAAACATTTGCAAATCAAACAAAGAAGCTGCTGTTGTTCTCAAAACAATGGACTGGACAGACCTCAATATCTTTCAATGTATTTGGGATTACTTGAGAAGCAGAAAATGCAACCAACTTCTAAGACTGAACTTTGGAGGTGTGGAAAAATATTCAAAGTGAGTCTCCTGAAATGAATGGAAGGAAAAAGTAGACACTAAATATTGGACTATTTGATATTGTTGGGAGCTTCTTCGTAATTTTCCGATATATATATATAGGGAGATTCACTCAAAAGAGGCCCCGAATATTCTGTAATAACTCTCGCTAGGACGAAGCAATCTAAACGAAACACTGTGCAATGTGCTTCTCAGTATATGGAGCTTCGAACAAGCCGGGATGCCCCTGCATCGGAGCGATGAGGTAGGCGCCGGACAGCTGTTGCGACGTTTAACCTCTGTTTTCAACTTCTGGGTGCATGCCCCCGTACCCCTTCATGTGTCTGGCAGAAAACAGTGATCACTGTACAATCCAGCATTATATGTCTCCTATGTGGTTTTGCACTAATTTGATAATACAACTTGCACTAATTTGACATATTGCTGTCTCTCCTCTTCAGATCGTCCCTTAAGAAAAACTTCCAGTGTAGACTAAATCAAAGCAACCCTACAAAAACCAATGATGCTATTTGCCCATTTAAATTAAGAGTGCCTGAATGCATTTCAGGTCGTAATTATGACTTCAGAAGTTGTAAATAACAGTTTACAAGGAGGGCACAAGCACATTGTGTTGTTTTTTGGGATCTTTCAAAAGACACGGTTGGAACACTCTTGAATAGATTAGCTTGATTGTTTGAGATTGTGCTTGTGCACATCCACAGTTGTAGAAACAGACGTTGCAACGTGCCGTGCGTCTGGCCAGGAAGCATAGATTAGTCCTGAAAGCTCACATTTTCCCGTGAAATTCCATCTGAATCCTCAAGCGAGGGAGCCTTTGGAGTGCATCACTTGTATCAATTCCAGAGGCTGGAATGCAATGTTGGCTGCCGATTACAGCGGCGAAATTGCGTTTCGGCTGCGATTTGATACGCTCGAGATTAGTCGTGAATTATTTGTGTGCTTGCTGATGCTGGGAGTCAGCCGCTATCCACCGAGAAGGTGTCCACTAGGTCTGCTCGGCCAGGTGATGCGATTGGCGGCAGCCCAG